GATGACACGACAGATTGGAACGTAAACAAGACGAGAGTCGTTGAGACGCTCCACAATTTTCTTTACAAACATAACATATTACCTAAACATCAGTCTATTCTGTCTTTAAATTATTGCCACATCCAGGAAGTTGAAAATATATATCGTTTTTCATTTTCAAACTTGACATGTTACATATATTTTGTAAATATTTTTCTTTTTGGGGTTCCTTTCTTATTGGAGGTTGAATAGTAGTACAAGTTTAACATCATTAGAGCTCGTTGTGATAGAGTCAAAGTCAAAGCAAATAATCATTAATTCCATTGGTAAAATTTTTACATTGAAAACATCATTTTTAAGCTACTGCTCGTTCAGTGTGCCGACTTCCCTGAGAAGAACGAGCAAAAAAAAAGCTCTTTTCTCGAAACTCTAGGGAGTTCGTCCAGGGAAGGCCTATCATCTTCCCTATTTCCGCCGACAAGCAGTAATGTAAGCATTACTGCGTTCCAGTTTTGAAGGGTAAGGGTGCTGGTGAAATCACAGTCATATTATTGTCAACTTCACTAAAGTCAGAGCTTTCAGTCTTTGCGATTGAAAGCTCAGAGTCGCACTGCAACTGTTTCATTCCTGTTGTCAAGTGGCATCATAAAAAAATACATCGAAATCAAAATGATTTTGTGTTGTATTCAAAATGGTATCACTTTGTCGATAATACACATATTTGCCTTAGAAGTCAAAAATAACCAAATAAGGATTAAATTTGAATTATAACTCAACACAGCCACGAAGAAAATTGTTAAGAAGGCGTTGTGAGAAGAACAGGAGGGAGTGTAAGGAAATGTGAGTGAAGTAAGAGAGGTTTTTCCGGAATCCAAAGACGTACCAGTAATCATCCAATATATAACAATTCTGATTTAAAAAAGTATTCAAATCATCACTTCGTTTAAAAAACAAATATACGCCATTTAGATACATAGCAATCGTGAAAACCTAAGAACTCCATTTTATTTAAATAGAACCGGATAATAAATAACGGACTTTAATAAAATAACATTTTAGAATCTTGTTGAAGACATCGAATTTATTGGAGAAGGAAGTTTTAAATACATCAACAGTTAAAATACGGCGAGTAGAATCACTTTGTAATACTTATTTAAATAAAAGTTGCGATGGAATGTTCTTCGTTAAACTCTGCTCTCGGCTGACCTAATTTGAGGGCCTGGATCAAGAGAAATCATTACAATTACGATTAAAATTTTAATTCGTTGCCAAGTTGGTGGTAATAATTTAATTTGGAACATACGGTCAGAGCGGTTGTAGACTTTAATTCCAAATAACGTTCAACATTTCGGTCATTTGGTGCTGCACTGACGCAATTATACTTCTTGTAATATTACAGGAGATGGATTTGAATTGATTTTTTAAACTTTATTTCAAATTTATGACATTTTAATAAAACTTATTAACACATCATAAATTAAATTTATATTAAATTGATATTCAATTATTTTTTGTGAAATTACTCCACTAGTTTGTTATAATTATTAATACAAAGATAGAATTTTTTCTGAGTGTTCGATCTTTGTATTAATAATTATAACAAGCTAGTGGAGTAATTTCACAATAAATAATTGAATATCAATTCAATAAAAATTTAATTAATACTGTGAATAGCGACATCTCTCGCCAGGACTGGTAGCTGTAAAGGTACTAACTGGGTGATAAATCTGTAATAGATTTCTCATAGATGGCGACTACGACTAAAAAGTCGTTGAAAGACCAAGTACAAAG